TGTTCTCTCCGTGTTGGTTTCCTCCGGGTTTTCTGGTTTCCCCCACAATCCAAAGACAAGCGCTATAGGTAAACTGAATAAGCTAAATTGTCAGTAGTATATGTGTGTGAATGAGTGTATGGATGTTTTCCAGTATTGGGTTGTAGCTGGAAGGGCATTCGCTCTGTCCACGGTTTATTCCGCTGTGACGAACCCTGATTAATAAAGGGACTAAACCCAAGGAAAATGAATGTATGAATATATTGTTATATATTCTTTAATATATGAAAATCCGGGGTCTGTTTTGTATTAATATCCATATATTGTGGCATATTAATGCATTATTCGGTATAATGTTTGTACCCCAACCTGATTTCACCTAGTAGGACGTGTTCCTGCATTAACATCTTAATTCTGGAACAGCATTGCAATCAGCCAATCAGAATTAAGGGATACGTTTACCATTTATGTTAAGTTTAGGCTCATGGATTGTTATCCAACTATTATTATGGTTGGTTTAGGTGTAGGAAATAGGTATGGATTACATTTTCCAGCAAAACTGATGTTCCAGAATCAACATGGATGGCAAAATCATGATCGTGCTCCTATACACTAAATAATTTCATTTAATCATTGTTCATATTTTGGAAACATTCTTTTCATGAGACTATAGGTATGTTTAAATGCATGCAGTCACACATTCATCTTTTAGTCCTTATAGATTGTCATATCACATGTTCTACAGTGCTCAAAATTATTGGTGTTTTTCAATGTGAGATTATTTAAACTAAATGCTTCCACAATTTCAAATTTTCATATATGTTCTTAAAAGATCAGAACAAACATACAACCATGCCTCTGTGCAGAAATCAATATTGTGCATTGTATGTGTATTTAATTATTTTGTTTGTATGAGGTCACACAACGTGAGCTCCTCTTTCACCCAGGAGCTAAATGAAGTTAACAGCCATTTACCCAACACTAATGGCTGTAAGATTTGGGCATGGCTGAGCGAGAGAGCCTTGAGTATAAACATGTTTGTGTGTGAAAATGTATGTGTACGCATAAGTGACTTAGATTGATAGCCACTTTGTAGAAACACCAGCCTTAAAGCGTCCATTTAGCTCTCTTTCTCGTTCTCGCTCTAATGGTTTTTTTGATTTCTCGCACATTCACTGACAGTCTGAAGTTTGGGCTTAGGTACAATCATTAAGAAAAAATGTAAAGAAAAAAATGCATGTTCTGCTCACCAACGCTTTGGCATAGTCTCTGATTTTTTTCTGATGTCGCCACATTGGAATGAACTGCTAACTATTCTAGCATATGTTTTACACAGCAAATGCCCTTCCAGCTGCAACTCAGTACTGGGAAACACTCACATACTCTCTCATACACACACACACACACACACACACACACACACACACACACACACACACACACACACACAAACTCTTTTATTCATCAGGAGTCACCACAGCAGAATGAACCATTAATGGGAAACACCCCATACACTCTCATTCACAAAAATACACTTCGGACACTTTAGCTTACCCGATTCATCTAAAGCTCATGTCTTTGGACTTGGGGAAACCAGAGCACCCAGAGGAAACCCATATGAACACAGGGAGAACGTGCAAACTCCACACAAAAATGCCAACTAACCAGCGACCTTCTTGCTGTGAGGTGACAGAGCTAACCACTTAGCCACCATGCTGCCCTAACTATTATTAATAATAATAATAATAATATGGATAAAAATAAGATGTTGTTGTGTTGAAAATTGTTGGGCTGCTTTATGTTTTTGTGGAAACTGCTAAAGTATACAATAGTAGTATAGTAAAATTAAAATTTTTGTAGAGTTAAAAAAAAAATGTAATAAATCCTGTAATTTTGAACTTTTCTTTTTTTTCTAAATCGAAGAATCCTAAAATGTTTACTCAACTTTAAAATAGGAAAAAGTTTTCAACATTGATAATTATAATACTTTTTTACAGGATAAATGCAGGTTTCCATCAGTTACATTTTAGACTTTTTAATACCACACAGAATGAAATTTGAGACCTTTATAGTATATAGTAGTATACTTTATAGTATAGTAGAACCGTATAAAAAAACACACAACTAATTAATTACCATCCATATCACTATGTATTAGAGTAAAAAACAAAAACCTCAAATGAGTCTGTGAACTGACTTAAAAATATCAAATAATAATTAGGATGCAACAGAATTTCTGATATCCCAGTGAGCGACTTCAGCTTGTTTCATTCTAGGGACAATTAGACACAATAGACAAAATCATCTTTATGCTCGATTGCATTTTTAAGATCTTTGAGATGCAGATTTAATACCTTTTAAGACTAAATAAAGCCATTATTTTTATACTTTAAGACTTTTTTAGGATATGCAGCCACTCAAAGATTTCTGAAGAATTGTGACTGTCATATTGCTGCTGAAAATTCAGCTTTAAATCAGGGGAATAAATATCAACTGCAGTTACAATTACAATACAAAACTTAATTCAACAGGAAAGCAGTTATTTTAATTTGCTGTATTTTTTACATTTTGTATGTATTTTTATCATATAAATACAGCCTGGGTGAGTATACTTAAAAAAATTAAAACCATTAAAAATCTCACACAGGTTTTCTTTTTTTTCTGTTTTCTATTTTAACATCAGGTCCCTGCTATGCTTCTTCTCAAGAGTCCACTGCTTGGTCTTTTCTCATGAGATTTTATGTGTGACAGGGTGTGAGAGATTAATTTGCTCCTCTGATTGGGGTTTTCATGGTTAATTAAGTTCATTGAAAGTTAATTAAGAAAACAATGCTTTTCTAGCAGTATTGATCCTTTGAAGTGAGCGCTGAATCTGCAGTAAACTGCAATGAGCTCTGTTCTGAACCTGACACACTAAGCTCTCGGCTGGGATAAAGGAAATATAAAGTGATTTTATGGAGAGCGGTGCTGGAGTCACACTTTTAGTGGACAGTGGGCTTGATTTGATAGTCAGGTTCTGCAACACAATAAAGCAAGCTGAATTTTATAGATGAAAAAAAAAGATATTAATATCACTATCAAAAATCTTAATTATCGTACTGCCATGATCAATATTTGGCTGGAAAAATAGTCTGTCAGGGATACAAATACAGTACAGTATGTTTAATGGATTATACTGTTGCTTTACAGCATGTCAGTTGTTCAGCAGATGTAACTTTATAGAAAGATCTCTGAACGTTCATGAAGTGCATTTCCAATTACAAGATGTTGGACATTTTCATGTATACTGTCATTTTTAATCTGCACAGTGCAATTTTCATGTGGTAAATTTAATATGTTGTCTAACCTGATCTTGGCCTATTACAACTTTTTAGCAGTGTGTGTTTATATATATATATATATATATATATATATAAATATTTATTTTTTCCCCTATTTTTTCTTTTTATTAAAGATTTTTTTACATTACAGATGAGGTAATAAATACAAAAAAATGATATTTTACAAATTTAAAAATAAAATAATACATAACAAATGAATAAAATGTACTGCCATCATAATTACTTTTTCAAGGCATACATTTGTACATCAAGTTACATTGTGTTACATTGTACTTACCAGATTACATTGGTGATAGGTTGAGTAACCTCTAAATATACAGATCCAAATATGTTGTAATACTTTTCCACCTCTTCAGAAAAATATCAGTCTTCATTTGTAGACATGCAGCCTTTTTTCCATTAGATAGACCTCTTTAAGTCTCTGAATCAAAATATATTTAATCATTGTTTTGACCATCAAAGACATTTTAGTGTCTGTTAAAATGACATTGTAATAATTGATTTCCTACATAGAAAGCATATATAAAAGCATATAACTGCTGTCAAAATATGTTTGGAATAATATTCTGTCATTATTCAGCATGTAACAGAATAACCTATATGTGTGTGTGTGTGTCTATATATATTTTATACTATACTTATTCTGACATGTACGTGTAATAAAATGCACGGTCCCACTTTATATTAAGTGGCCTTAACGAATATGTACTTACACAAGAATTAATAGTTTGTTACAATGTACTTATTGCGCAAATACATGTATTTACTGTGTACTTATGCTTGATTAAATACATGTATGTAATTACATCTGTAATTAACTTTTGTAATTGCATTTTTAAATACACTGTTGATCATCCCTTACACCTTAACCCACCCTTAAACCTACCCATGCCACCAAACCTGTCCATAACCCAACCTCTATCCCAACTCAAAAGCACCACAAGTGTTCTCAAATACATTTTAAACACAGTAAGTACATTGTATTTATTTTGTGATGTCAGTACATAGTAGTTAAGGACACTTAATATAAAGGGGGACCAAACGCACATATCAGTAATCAATCAGGCAAGATTTAATTAGACTTTAAGTGTTGACAAATAGAAAATAGTGGTTTTAAATATGTGCAAAATATAAAGTGTAAAACTCACATATAATTAGTATTTTAATGTCATAAAATACTGAATAATATATTAGTGAGCAACTTTCTGTTAATCATTGTAAAAATTTATGATAATAGTCATTATAGCTCAGAAAATTGAAGGTAGGACACATTCAGCTGTATGAAAACTTGCTTAAAGTTTCACCTCTTTAGCTTTAATAATGTTGCTTGAAAACCTGTCTTGTTGACCCACATTGCGGCAGTATGGGGCTGCAGACACATAGCAAAAATATGATGATACCAGCAAGACTGGAGGACAGAACGTACTAATTAAAGGGAATTTTGAACTAGCAAAATAATAAACCATTGTAACCATTCTTAATCCTCCAGTGCTTCCGATAATTGGCCAAAATTTTCAACCAACTCGTAAAAATTTGCATTTGATAAACTGTTTTATTTGATCCATGATGCATAACACACAACCAGCAAACTCTCCTCCCTCGTGACGCACACCTAGACCCAATTGCCCATGCAAAATTCAGTGTTAACAGTGCAGTTGAGTCAGTTATTACCATTATCACTTCATTTTCTACTACTTAAAGCTGTATTAAAATCGATGACACATGGAAAAAACAAACGTGAATCTAAATATCCTTCAATGATATTCTCAAGTGACTGTGAACTGTATTTAAGACTCGTTTTGGCATAATCTGATGTCTTGAATTGCGCTCGCGGATGTCAAGTCTCCGGCGCGCGCCACAGAAGCGCACAGTCTGGCGAGAGCGCGCGAATCGGTTCGCGTGCAGAAGAGAAAATCCCAAACATTTTTAATCATCACGCTGCTGATTGTGGCTGATTATCCGTGAAAGGGAAACCATCATCTCTTCAGGCGTAAAGCACGCTCGTACTTCTGCAACCAGAGCGCATATTGAGCCCGGATCCTTTAGTGTCGCGCGCGCAAATGTGTTAATTTTAAACGCAGGGACTGCCGTGAAGTAAGCGCGGAAAATGGATCAGTAAAAGTGCGATTTTTTTGCCTGTCAGTTTGTGTAAGTGTGGACGGAAGGGTTTGATGGCAGCTCAGATGGCTTCAGGACTTTGGTTTGTCGCGCTCACCATGGCGAGTAAGTAACAACGAGCTATTTTTTCCATTGGTGTTTGTTACTGACAGTGATAAAAGCACGTTATTATTAAATTACGCGTGTATACCAGTACGATTAGGTCCTACCTAATCATTTGGTCTCACTTTACAATGTTTCATTAGTGCTAGTTAATGTATTTATTAGCATGAACTAATAATTAACAATGCTTATAGTTCAACACTTACTGATGCAATAGTACAATCAAAATTCCTGCATTTTAGCAAGTTAATGCACTTTGAGTTTACATGAACTAACAGTAAACAGCTTTATGTACATTAATGTTAACAAAAATGAATGAACACTATAATAGATGTATTTGTCATTGGTTGTTTATGTTAGTATTACCTAATATTAACTAAAACAGTCTTATTGTAAAGTGTTAACCAATTTTGTTACAGAAAAAGTTAGTGAAAGCTTGTAGTTTTATTCCTAGTTGTAAATGTCTTTAAAAATGTCCAAATTGCTTAGATAAAAGTGAATAAGATGAAAGATGATTGCATATAACTAGTCATAATTGGGAACATTTAATTTAATGCTCAAACTGAATAGTCTTTACATACAGAATAATACATTTATTATATATTAAACTACTAACACTTTATTTGCCTTTTATTTATTTGTCTGTTGCATACTGTTAATAAATCCTGGTTGCCCTTAATTTTTAAGCTGCATCAGATTAACCTTATGAGTCTATTGAACTTATATTTTGCTAAACTGACTTAAAACAGCTTGTATAACTTAGAAAATTAAGTTAGAACATGATTGACTTAGTTTAATAAGTTACAATGAACTAAAAACATATGCTGTCTTGACTTATTTATCATATATTTTTTATAGTATACAATAATAAAAGAAAATGATGCACAATTGCATGCAATAGCAATAGTTCTAACTTTAAGAGCATGTTGTTAATTCAAATTACTCAATAATTACATTTATAATGACACTAAGACCATAAAAAAGTTGTAACTGCTTTGTATGAGCTTGATAAAATGTTTTAAAATACACCTTCAATTTTGATATTCAATTCATTTCACCTTTATTTCTTTAGAGCTTTTACAATGTAGATTGTGTCGAAACAGCTTCACATAGAATATGTGGTAAATATGAAGTATTATGACTAACCTTTTTAGTTATACATACAATAATTTAATAGCTCTGTTTACATGACTATTCACATAAAATCAGGACTGCACTTTTTATAGTATTTATATTAAATGCTATGACAGCTCTTTGGAAAATGCATTAGCAAGTCTCTTTACATCCTTGACCAGTGGGATTAAAGGGGTTAAGTTGGGTCAGTCATCATCGCACGTTGTGTGTGTGCTTCATAGTTCAGTTCATCATTGCTCACACAGCAGGGTTTTATGAGTGCATCATGTTTCATCCAGTATGAATGATGAAGTCTTGACACCCAATCTCTTAAAATCATTGATCAGTCTCACTCTAAACGTGAAGCAACTATTAGATGATTTACAATAGTCATGGTTTACCTTTTGTAAAGGAATAGTTCACCCAAAACTGAAAGTTCTGCTATCATTTTGCTATTTTCTGCTCAACACGAAAGAAGTTATTTTGAAAATTTTTGGAAACTTATAACCATTGACTTCCGTAGTAGAAAAAAAACAAACACTATGGAAGTCAATGGTAACAGTTTTCTAACATTTTTCAAAATAACTTCTATTGTGTTCAACAAAAAAAGGAAACCGGTAAAGATGGTAAAGGACCACTTGAGCGAGAGTAAATGGTGATACATTTTCATTTTTGGGTGAACTGTCCCTTTAAGGTTGCATAATCCAGTGTGGAAAAAACAGTATTGGAGTGTCTTTTTCAGGGAATGCATACTAGGGATAGCGCGTGTGTGTGTGTGTTTTGGTTCTTGAGGCATGCTCTGTCATAACTTTGATTAGATCTTTTGCTCAGTGAGTCAGAGTTGCAGATAGGGTTTCTTAAAAACATTCTTAAACACAAACACACACATGGAGATCAAAAAAGGACTACAGAGACACTTTTATAGTCTTCTGTAGCAAAAAGGTCTCTGGTTCGAGTCCTGACTGGGCTAGTTGACATTTCTGTGTGCATGTCCTCCCTGTGTTGGCGTGGGTTTCCTCCAGGTGCTCCAGTTTCCCTCACAGTCCAAAGACATGTGGTACAGGTGAACTGAATAAACTAAATTGGCCTTAGTGTATGTGTGTTAATGAGTGTGTAAGGATGTTTCCCCGTACTGGGTTGCAGCTGGAAGGGCATCTGCTGTGTAAAACATGCTGGAATAAGTTGACAGTTAATTCCGCTTCGGCAACCCCACATTAATAAAGGGACTAAACCAAAGAAAAATGAACAAAGGTAGCAACTAGCATTTTTGTAAATATCTCCTTTTGTGTTCAACTGAAGAAATTAACTCATAGTTTTTAAACAAGTGAAGTATGAGTAAATGATAGCAGAACTTTCATTTTTTTGCCTGAACTAACCCTTTACACTTTCATGTATTAATCAAAATATGAAAAACATACTGTGAGTTGCACAAATATGTTACAGTTGGCTGTTTTTTAAGAGAATGTTTTTAAGGCAGCGTCTGAAGTTACTTTGTTTTATGCCTTAACAAATGATAAGCTAAGGCCTTGTATGAGCTATGGATAAGGACTAGGCTCCATCTCTGTATGTTGTGATTGCCATTAGCAATATTGATTCGTGTATCAGAGCTTCCGTTAATGATTTTTATTGCTGAAGTATTTCCACTTGTTAAGCAGTGAGTCAGTTGCACGCATAATCAAGGTCATAAAATTAAAGGCATAGTTCACCCAAAAATGTAAATGACTTCACTATTAACTCACCCAAGTGCTTATGAACTTTTATGAGTTTCTTCTGCTGAACACAAATAAGATATTCTGAATAATGCTGGAAACAAAGCTGTCAATGGCTGCTTTCACCTCCAACATTCTTCAGAGTATCTTCTTGTGTGTTTAACAGAAGAAACTCAAACAGGTTTAGAGTGGAGAATGAGTAAAATATTGTGTAAATAATGACAGAATTTCAATGTTTGGGTGAACAATGCCTTTGATCAGAGACTGTTCAGAAGTTGGGTTTTAAGTTATTTGCTTGATTTAAAGCTGCTCTTATTTAAGCAGACAAACAATTAAACAATACATTTTAAATATTGTGAATTGTTTCGTATAATTTCTGTATTTAAATCTTTATTTACGTTTGTTCTTATAATGAAAAGCTAAATGCTTAGCTTTATTACTCTTTAGTAGTGTAACGCCGGGGAGTAACACCACAACTGAAGGTAAGATCCACATGCAGGTTTATTCGTAGTCAGGCAAGTGATGGTCAACACAGGTGCAAACAGGTCTATACAGGCAGTCCAGAATCACAGTCGAATACAGGCTAGAGGTCAGAAAGTCAGGCGGCAGGCAAAGAGGCTAACAAGGCTAACGGTCGGTAGACAAGATAACAAGACTGGGAAAACGCGTTGTAATGCTACTTAACAGTGAACAAGACTCGGCAAAGTGAATGAGTGTGTGTGCTGCTTAAATACTGTGTGAAATATCAGTCTGTGACAAGGTTCAGCTGGTGATTGCAATCAGGATAGATTAATGACCAGGACTGGGTCTTTGGAAGAGGTGCATGTATGAATATGTAGTCCTGGGAAATGCGGAAGTGAAGTTCAAGTATAGTGGAAACCAGCGATCTCCTGAGAACGATCGCTGGTTAACGTAACAAGTAGCACACGATCCTTCAGAAATCATATTCATTTTTACAACTTTATCTTGTATGAATTGTTTTCTATGTTCTTTCTGGAGTGGATGCATACTGTAAGAAAAAAGCAGCAGTTCTTTGAATATTTGTAAATGTCTTTTTGGAAAACTGTCGCTTTTTGTTAATTGGTATTCTCTTTATTCCGGACACTAGGTCCAATAGTACAAAAGACAGACAAAACTATACAAACCACACAATATACATTAAAAAAGACAGTCATGCCAATATTTCATTTAAGGTGACTGATAACACACACTAAGTTTTATCAACAACACCAAAATGCTATTTTGAGACTTCTTTAAGCGACAAATAGACTTATAGGTCAAATTTCTCATCAAAGCAAAAAATGATCTAACTCTTACCTTACAAAATAATCCGCTTGAACTGCCATCTAAGTTTTTTAAGAAGAATCCTCATACAATTATTGTATGCAACCTGCAGCTCATGGAGACTCTCTTATACCACAAAGGAGCTGTGTATAAAGAACTAGTGAGTTCTACAGAGGTTTACCTTAACCTGCATCCTACACAAATAAAACTTTCTCACATTTCTCGCATATTTGCTTGAGCATATAACTTTCGACATTCTCTGTAGATATCATTAACATCACTCATATTTTTGGTAATGATAAATATTCAACAGTGTTAACATTTAAAACTTGCCCTGACAAATAAAACTCTGGAGATGTTTTTTGGCTCTACACATCATGTAAACACTCATTTTTGAATTATATTGCACATCATATCTCTGTAATGCTGATGTCCATGTAATGCTGACAAAAAGTATCAATTTCTTTAAAATGTAATGACATTAAAGTTCATAAAAATTCAAAGTTCTCTCCTCTTTCCCAGATCCCTGAAGCTCTTTGCTTGTTGTAGAAATCATAAAATGTACAGTAGAAGTGTGTTTTCCCCAGCACATGGGTCAAAATATATATATTTTTTGTTTCAGAATGAATCAGCTACTTTGAACAAACTGGATAAACAACTCATAACATTATTATTGTGATTCTAATAAATTACTTTATCAAAACCTTTAATTTTTAGTTTTTATTCCAACACAAATTAAGTTAACAAGTTTAAGTGGATTGAACATAAAATAATTAAGTTGTCCCCCCCAAAATCTATACTCTGTTAAAATAGTTGGGTTAAAAATACCCCAACATATAAGCCAACTATGAGTTATTATAGCACCTTCCAAATAATGGGTTATTTCAATCAAATGTT